CCTCTCTAACATTTATCTTTTTGGAATCTGTCGTGGTTATACCTCGAGGAAACTTTAGAAAGGCAGAGGTCACAGCTCAGTGAACAGTTTTATAGTTCTGCCTGACAACTGCAACAGCAGCTCCTATCATTCTCTTTGCCATGTTTACATCTGCATGACAGATAGCGCTCTGTCATTGTCACGCATCCCTCAGGCTCAGAGGTCTCTAGGGACTCCATTTCCCAGAACCCCCAGGGTAATCACATGATTCTCAGCCCTCCATCTTCCTCCAATCACCGCTCTCTGTCGCCTGAGTATTAACTGATTACACCTGTTCTCATAGAATTAGTTGAGTATAAAGCCTGTGCTTTTAGTCTAGTTCGATGCGAGGTATTGCTTCTTATTCAAGAGCTGCTGAGCGGTATTTTCTTCTGTCTATTGTGATTTTCCGGTTTTTGACTCTGTTTGCTGTTTTTGACCTTTGCTCTTTTCGCCTTTGCCCTTTGGACTTTGTTCGCCTTGTTATGTTTGTCTTTTTGTGTTTCTTGCCCTTGCTGGATTTGACCTTTGCCTGTTTTTTGACCACGTTTTTGGATTACGACTCAAACATTAAAGCCTCACTCTCTTTTTTTAACCGCGAGCGTCTGAGTTATTCTGCCACGTTACAGTCATCCTATTGGTCAACTTCAAGGAATGCGTTGAAGGCAATGTCAAATTAAACAGAAAAATTTGATGTGCTAGACTTCATCATCGGGGTGTTTTGGGGAGTCCCAGATGCCCCATCGCTGTTCTTTGATTGTCACACTGCAAGAGCTGTTCATCATTCCCGACGCTCATATTCGGGCTTGACACTGGAAATCATGTCATAATCGAGCTGAATTCTTATAGTCTGATCCCAGCATAAGATAATCTGTCCGTGAAACTGATCTTCCATAACATACAGCACATTCTGAATATGCAGCCAAGCCTGCAGATACTCCTTAATTTAATCATTTTGTATGCGTCACGCTATTGGCAAGCATAACAGCTGTACACAAAGTGCTATGTTGCCTGATGCTGGGCCTGCACACACGATACACATCACTGCATTCTGTACTAAAGTACCAAGTTATTAAAACTCAGTCTGCTGTTCATGGAATTGCTGGAAACGTTCATTTGTTTCTTGACAATTTTAGGCTACTTCATGAACTACAGTGCTATGCAAAATTTTTATTATTAATTATTCATTAAAATTTTATTTTATTCATTTATTGTTCTAAATAATAATGAAAATAATAACAGTAGCAATTGCTCTTCATGATTACTATAGATGTAAATAATATGTTTCATGTAAGTAATGCATCATTCAAGCCTTTGAATAATAGACTTGGCAGTTTTTATCTATTCATAAAATAAAAATTTTGTTTTGTAAAAAAGCAGTGATCTTACCCTGTTAGGAAAATAAAACAGTGCTACTGTCAGTGCTCTTACATCTCTTAAAGGGAATGAGAGGAGGTGATCTGATTGGCTGTTCCTGCACCACACCTAACCACACCTTTTGGTTATTTATTCGCTCTAACTCTGTTCTGTTTAAAGTTGTGTTGCTCTGCTTCAGGTTGGAGCTGCCATGCAAATAAGGAACATACCAAAAATTTGTCACACGCATCAGCACGGTGATGTTATGCCTTATTTTTCCGCTTGCACTATTACCATGAAAATAGAGCCCCTGCAGCACAGTTTAACCAGACGCCTGGTATGGCGCTCTCTGCTCTACCCAAGTTGTGAGATAGCTCTACTTAGACACTACGCTTAAATTTAACATAGATTTCTACAGTAATAGAACTGTAAATATTCAGGGTATATGTGGAAATACTAGGGATGGGCAGAAGGCTATGTATTTTGGTTTTCTGAAATTTAAGTTTACTTATATTTTGCCCCTGGTGATCTTTTAGCCTATGGTCATGTGCACAACCTAACATAAAATAAAACGTAAGATATTTCAGTAGGATTTTTTTGCCATATGATCATGAACTTGTGCAAGCTGTTTCATTATATAAGCAGTGTATAGCATATAAACTTTGTCAGCCAGCTTCTTGGACAAGGATTATGCCTAGTTTTGGACAACACAGGATTTTAAATGAAGATTTTACATTAAAAGGAAAAACAGTCCATGACTAGGCGTAATTCCTGTCCAGGAAACCGGCCTTACATGTAGGCTTTGTTTAACTGATTATTGCCATAACAAAGCTAATTTCCACTTGCGTCTCTATGGGATTGTTACAGAATGTATATAATGGTATACATAACAGTGTATTCACTTTCATATACAAAGTTTGATACTATTTGGGACAGCTGTAGTTTATAAACTGACATTTAAATCATGTAAGATATGCATGTGATATACTGTTTTCAGTGAATCCTTTGATATTGGTATTTAAACCAAAACTGGTTGTTAAACAAAGTTGTGCTTTTATGCTGTGTATTAAAGGAGAATTCCACTGTTAAATGGTTATGGTGTAAACAAAGTCGTTCAGAGTGGTTTGGTGTGAAACGCTCTGTTCTGGAGAAACTTAAGTTAGAATGGTTCACAGTGGTGGTGATAGGAACCAGACGTCCACCTCTAAAAGCTCCCTCACAGAAAGTCATTGCATAAAATGGTTATGAATTCACTGCCTGCTGTCTGCGGCATTGTTTTACATTAGTTTTGAGAAGATTTTGGCCTAAAACATATTATTAATGGTGGTGGGGCATTGTGAGTCAGAATAGTCCCCAAAGAAAACTTTTTTTTTTTTTCCAGATTTTTTTTTATTTTTCCATCATCAACATTCCATGTAAAACTCAGAAGACATGTAGGTTCACTGGTGGCTTTGGGTAATAAATAAAATAGCCATATTTGTGTTGTAGTCATGTTAATACCTTCTTCCTATCACCATCTCTGTAAAGAAAATCAGAGTCTCTACAATCAACCATTTTACACCAAACCACTCTGAATGACTTTCTTTACATCAACAAATTATGCAGAAATTATGTAAAAATTACTAATGTGAGTTAGGCAGTTGTACTGCTTCTATATTCACAGGAGCATTTTATGGTGAGAAATTAGTTGTTGTGAATTTTATCCGTTGCACTAGCTATTGTTTATTTTAAACTGTGTTTATGTATAAGTAGCCCTTTTAACTAACCTTTTTCCATTCTGTTTTTCTATTGCTTTGTGTAGAATCATGGCAGAATTTTAGTCAGCAGGACCACCAGCATGATAGTTCCACAAGTTTTTAAAACAAATTCTGCAACAATTCACAGTGGTTAATATTGATCACTAAACACATAAATACACATCTGTCTCCCATTATTTGTTTACTTACACTAAGCTGAAAGTTCATTAGGAACACCTGCCATGGTGCACTTTGCAGGTTTATAATTACAGACTGCAGTGTTACTGCACAATTTGCCTCTATCCCTCCCTTTAGTGGTAGGACACCATCATAGCATATCTACATTGTGACCGACCCTGGTCTGATACAGATATACCACATGATCAAAAGTATGTGGAACCAAAACCATCAATATATATACATCTGTTGAGTTTTATATGTAGTGTTAATGGTGGTAAAATAGTGATAAATCTGACAAAAAAAGTTTTTTTTTTTTTTTTACTTTTAGAATAACTGTTTTAAACAATATAAAACCAAGATTAAAATTTTGTAGGTTTACAAAAATGTAGGAAGCTGTAAAAATTAAGAAGAGCTGCAGACAATTATATTAAAATAGAGAAAGCTGTATAGCATTGAGAATAAACTTTCAGAATGTACAGAATGCCTCACATTTGAAAGACAATGATTGCGTAGCTATTCATAGTAATTTATATTAAGAACTTTGTATAAATAATTGTGTTTATTATTTAATGACGTGACCTATTTTTGCCATGTCATAATTTCTTTTTGTTTCAAAGTACTTTCACTTCTGGACAAGCCTTTGTTTTATGTTTTGGTGTCTAGTTTATAATATTTCAGTCAACACTGTTATTATATGACTAATGATTCCAAAGTTTTAAACAGTAGTTCAACAGCAATATTTTTATGACCGTTTTTGTAATACCTTTCTGTAAAGGGCTTTTAGAGGCGTTATACTTTTAAATACATGATAATATTAAGAAATAGAAGAAAATGATAATACAAACCTTTTTTATTTATCTATGTATATTACTTATAACAGTGCACATCTGTTCATACCATAAAATTGGAATATTCAAGAAAATTATGTTAATTAAGCACTAAAACTGGCCAAGTCTGCTGGCCCAACTTTGGGTCGATGTTGAAAAAGACACTGGCCCTAGTCTGGCTGCCGACTTTGGCCCAGCCTCAGGGAGAGTCGGCGAACGGATTAGAGCCAGCTCCACGCCAGCATGCATCGGCTGACTGGGTTAGTACAGTACTGAATACAGCACTCCTACGGTTTACTGTACCACAGCATGAACTGGGATATCTAATAGACCGAGAGCGGCAGAGGACAGACTGAGCACTATCTACTCAGTACAGAGACGATTTCAACAGTATAGAGTCAGAATAAGATACAGAATAAACTCTCTACACTCCGAGTTTCTGCTTTTCCTCTTCATTTCCTGCTCCATACTGTCATTTCCTGAACTAATCTCTCGACAGCAGCACAACTCCTCAATCTACAGACTTTCTCAGCTCTACTGAACTTCACTCGATCCAAAACAACAATCTCAGATTAGTTTTCTCTGTTCAAGGTCTCCGTTTCAGTTCAGCCATTCGTTCATATGTTACCTGATATTATTCTGTTTATACTCCACACAGTGTTTCACTGTCTGTACTCTGGAGAATCTTTAGTTAGGTGATTAATCAAAGCTGAAGATTCGCCAGTTGAGGCCTTTAATGACCACAAACATTTAAATACAAACTGAGCTGAACCGAGCTGAACTGAACTGAACCGAACTGAACTGAACTGAGCTGAGCTGAACTGAGCTGAACGGTCTTTAGGACAGAGAGGAACTTCAGTCAGAGTAAAGAGAGAAAACTCACCTCCAGCAACATCAGACAGAAGAAAACTCAAACCCAGCAGCGCTAAAACTGAAGCTGTGTGGATCATCGCCGTATTCGGTGTGTCTGTCTCGTCCTTAGTGCAGATGAGGGACTAATACTGTGTTCGGGCGCTCATCGGGAGGTTGTTTATCCAGACAGTTACTAGTAAATACCATTAAACTCCATTACGGTGATCAATCATAACGGTTAGATTCGCCGTACACAGAAAAGAAAGCATGTCGGTCTGGAGAACACAGTCTTACTTTCGCTTTACTGTGTTATGAAGCACACAGAGCTGATAGATATTCCTAACCACTTCCTGTCATCTTAACCACTTCCTGTCATCTTAACTTGCTGTACACCCTGAGCACTTCATGTTCACCTAACCACTTTTCTGCTCACTCTGACAACTTCCTGTTATTTCTGACTGCGGAACCCTCATTCAGCTTCATACGCTCAGCAGCACCTATTTCAGCCGTTCCTCAATGCCATTGGTTCGCGCTCACTGAGCCAAGTATGGATCTGATTGGTGGAAGACAGTTACGTCAGACATCTGAGGTGCGCTTGAAATCTGGAACTGAGTCGACAGAGGAGAAGGAAAAGCAGAGCTTTTACAGAGACTTGAGGACTGTATTCATAAGTGCAGTACTGAGAGAGAAAAGGTAAGTTTTGTTTAATTTGAAGTGCAGTCCGTTGCTCTAAATGTCACGTGGTAAGAAACTTAGAAAATGTCTCATTACATTACAGCGGTGTGCTAGTTCAGTCATATAGCTCACCTAACTGGCTCTGTAATGTGCGTTTTATTTGTAAATAAATTAACAGTATTGCTGAATACTCGACTGCATTGTCATATTTCTTTTTGTAGTATGACTGTTTGGCTCCAGTATACCCAAAATACAAAATGTTTGAGTCTTAAATGCAGTTAGCAAGCAAACTTGTTTTGTAATACTCTCAGAGCAGCAGCATTAGTTCGATATGCCCTGATAGCAAGAGGATAGTGAAGGCGAACCTGGCGGTCCACTGGTGTTTTGCTTAGTATGTTTTGGCGGCCTACCGGTGGTTCGAGGGTGGACCAGCAGCGGCAAACAGACAGTGGGGTGCCGACCTTATCAAGCCAGCAGATCAATATATGCTATCTAGGTAGTTTAGTTTGAACATTAATGAAGATTGACTTAGACTGTAAACTGTAACAGCTGCCAAAAGAGAGTATATTTCAGTTAACAGTCTTCAGATGGTAAACTGTAACTGCTGAGCATTAGATGCAGCGAAGTTGTTACTACTCTTAGAGCAGCATTTTATATAGTAAAGTGGTGACTACTCTCAGAGCAGCATTAGATGCAGAGAAATGGTGACTACTCTCAGAGCAGCATTAGATACACTGAAATGGTCACTACTTTCAGAGCAGCATTAGATACACTGAAATGGTCACTACTTTCAGAGCAGCATTAGGTACAGAAGAGTGGTCACTAATGTCAGCAGCATTAAATACAGTAAAGTGGTCAGTACTCTCAGAGCAGGATCACATAGTTGACTGGTCACTACTCTCAGAGCAGCATTAGATGCAGTAAACTGGTCACTACTCTCAGAGCAGCATTAGATACAGTAAACTGGTCACTACTTTCAGAGCAGCATTAGATACAGTAAACTGGTCACTACTCATTAGATACAGTGAAGTTGTTACTACTCTCAGAGAGGCATTGAATGCAGTGAAGTGGTCTCTACTCTCAGAGCAGCCTTAGATAAAGTGAAGTGGTCTCTACTCTCAGAGCAGCCTTAGATAAAGTGAAGTGGTCAGTACTCTCAGAGCAGCATCAAATATAGTGAACTGGTCACTAATCTCTTAGCAACATACAGTATGTACACTCACCTTGTTTCTACACTCACTGTCCATTTTATCAGCTCCACTGACCATATAGGAGCACTCTGTAGTTTTACAAGGAAGAGTATTAAATGTGCCAAGGGGTGTAAATATAGTGTACTAGTCACTCTTCCCAGCAGAATTAGATGGCAGTATTGGGTAAAAGAGCATTTGAGAAAACTGATATAAAATGATGTTTATCTGAAGTGAAGTGGTCTCGTACATGGCAAAAATGACCACATCAGAAGATATTTTCTCACTCAGAAGGACATTGCTGGAATCTGTGCTGGTTTCAATGTTAGACAGAGGTTTGACAGAAATGATAGCGTGTCAGCGGACAGATTAATAAAAGCGGATCTACAGGACAGCATACTTTATTACCAGCCTTTATCCCACAGGGAACACCAGCCGCTGATCATTGTGTTTAGTTCTCCATGACAGCAGGAGCAGTGCAAACAGTTTGGATCATCAATGATTTTTGTTGATGCTACATACAAAGGCGTCACTCAGTATGGCTTTGCGTTCTATGCAGTGCTTGTGAAAAACTCAGAGGGTAGGGGAGTGCCAGTTGCCTTTTTTGTTATGAGTGAAGAATCCACAAGCAACATTGAAATATGTCTGAGGAAGCTCCAGGAGGCAGCTAAACGTTTCACTCCAAGGTACATTTAATCTCTGCATAACCACTAAAATATTACACCTGTATAAGGTAACATTTTCATCATCAAATAACAATTATCTGCAAAGTAGAAGACAAAAACATTCTTTAATTTCAATGTAAGTCATTGTAAAGAGGTTTGATTCCAAGCAATTTTGGACAATTTCTATTGGTCCAATCATCTAGAAAATTTCACACAATGTATAGGGCAGCTTCTGTGCTCAAGTTCTGTAGGATTTGGAAACACTACTGTAGGGCAGCATTAATAAGGCTACTTAAGCCTTTTATGACAACTAATATAAACCTACATAGGCATATATAAGGTCTTATTCCAGCAAGCGCCATTGTCATAAAGGCTGCATATATTAATTTTGATGTCAGCATTTTTTATAACAGCTGTTGCTTCCTGGAATAAGCCTTTATATATATCTATTGAGGTTTGTCAGCTGTTGTGAAAAGTGTATGTTGGTGTTGCCTTGTGTTACCCAAAATTTTATTCTCCCATGTCATGTAGATGTGTTATGGTGGACAAAGATATCAAAGAAATCAACGCAATCAAGGCTGTGTTTCCTCATTCAGCTGTGCTGTTATGCTGGTTCCATGTGCTTCAGGTAAACATAATTAAATATAAGTTTGATTTAATATAATTTGTGATTCATTTTGGAAAAATTAAGTGTTTAATAAAGAAATTGTAATTTATCAAAATACAGAATGTGGTATTAATGGAAATATGCAGTAAAACATATAGCACGGGAAAAGATGTTTTAGTAGCTCACAATGGGGTGAGAGAGTTAGTTGTATTTTGGTACTTGAGGAGGGTTATGGGTCAAGGTTCAGTGGGTACATATGGTAAAATGCATTTTTATGATTTCGTGTTGTTGCAGGCTGTACACCGGTCGTCATTAGGCGTGATGGAGGTCACTTGAACACTTCAGCTAGAAACATGGTCATTAAATGCATGGTGTCCTTGAAGCAATGCATGAGTGTAAGTGATCTATAGTTAATAAAGAATATGTATAAATACTAAGTCTAGCCCTGCTGATGTTGATCAGATCCTTCACGCTCTTGAATATTTTGATTATATATCTACAGGCAGAAGAGTTCCAGAAACTGTCAGAGGACCTGCTTGCAGGAATTGAAGGAGAAACACAAAGCACTCAAGTCAGCGAATACCTTCAAAACAATTGGCTGACAAATGCAGAAATGTGGTCAAATTTTGGTCGCTCATTTTACCACCACCAAAGTGAAACGAACAACTTGGTCGAGAGGTAAAATTATTTCAATTAGCCTTGCATACTTACATTAGACATTGTAAATGTAATTAATATTTGAACACTGATTTTTCTTTTCATTTGTTTGTGTGTGTGGATGTAAGATTTTTCCTAGGATTGAAGTATGGTTTCTTCCGTGGCTATTCCAACAAAAGAGTTGATGATCTTCTCCGAACGACGAAGTTGTGCCATACTATCAGTAAGGATCAAATCTTTGAGCAAAACATTTATTTACATTTTACATATGAATATATATATATATATATATATATATATAATATATATATTATATATATATATATATTATAATAAAAAATAGCAAAACATTTATATACATATATATACATATATATATATATATATGTGTGTGTATGTGTGTGTGTGTATGTATATATATATACACACACACCCACACACACACACTATATTTTTACAAAAGTATTCACTCACCCATCGAAATCATTGAATTCAGATGTTCCAATAACTTACATGACCACAGGTGTATAAAACCAAGCACCTAGGCCTGCAGACTGCTTCTACACACATTAGTGAAAGAATGGGTCGCTCTCAGGGGCTCAGTGAATTCCAGCGTGGTACCGTGATCGGATGCCACCTGTGCAACAAGTCCAGTCGTGAAATTTCCTCACTACTAAATATTCCACAGTCGACTGTCAGTGGTATTACAACAAAGTGGAAGCGATTGGGAACGACAGCAACTCAGCCACGAAGTGGTCAGCCACGTAAAATGACAGAGCAGGGTCAGCGGATGCTGAGGCGCATAGTGCACAGAGGTCGAATCACGCTTCTCCGTCTGGCAATCCGATGGACGAGTCTGGGTTTGGCGGTTGGCAGGAGACGGTACTTGTCTGACTGCACTGTGACAAGTGTAAAGTTTGGTGGAGGGGGATTATGGTGGGGGGTTGTTTTTCAGGAGTTGGGCTCGGCCCCTTAGTTCCAGTGAAAGGAACTCTTAATGCTTCAGCACCAAGAGATTTTGGACAATTTCATGCCCCCCAACTTTGTGGGAACAGTTTGGGGAGTTTGGCCCCTTCCTGTTCCAACATGACTGCGCACCAGTGCACAAAGCAAGGTCCATAAAGACATGGATGAGCGAGTTTGGTGTGGAAGAACTTGACTGGCCTGCACAGAGTCCTGACCTCAACCTGATAGGGCACCTTTGAGATGAATTAGAGCAGAGACTGCGAGCCAGGCCTTCTCGTCCAGCATCAGTGTCTGACCTCACAAATGCGCTTCTGGAAGAATGGTCAAAAATTCCCATAAAC